AATATTTAATTAAAGGCCAAAGCAAGAAACTTCTTCTTTTCATGTATAAGTTTTTGAATAAATTCTGCTTCATATGAGTACAAAAATAATAACGGGGCCCAGTTAGCAACCATGGGAATTTTTGGAAAACTTGATCTCAAAAAAACTACAGAGATATTGTAAATCAGAAACTCAGGCATCTTTTTAAGGAGGAGAAGGACCTTGAGCTGAAAAAAAACTTGTCATTCAATTTTTTTCATATTTTGTATATTTCTAATTAAGTATGTCCCAGATATCTTAAAGCAGTTATATCATTAGGTTTCTAACCTTATTTTGGAGATATTGATTGACAAATACTATGCCCTACAGTATCTAAGTGGAGTTTTAATTCTCCATGTTTCCGGGCGCATTACTCTGTCCATAATGGGATTTTTTAAGCATACATAAAAAATATCAGAGTGGACTTGTGTCTTTTAAAATATTTCAGAGTATACCTAGGATTTAAAATTCGAAAAAGCAAGTTTTGTCTATCACACTGCATCTGGATAGGGAAAATTATGCACTTTTTAAGACAACTTAAACAATAAAAAACGTAATTTACAAAAAATTCTGTCATTCAATATTTTTTTAATTTACGTTGAAATGCAAATCCTTCAAATTATTGATTAACTGTAAAAGTTTCGAATTATGAAGCTGACCTCATTATTTCACAGGACATCGTTAAAGAGGACATAAGCGTGACAAAAACGTGTCATGTTACATTTCTCGAGTACGGGAAAAACCAACTATGACGTCACACGTAAGCTAAATAAGCGAAATAAGATATACCTACATAACATTTCCGTCATCAGCCATGCAAAAATAATTTTTGTGTTCCCCTTTTCTCAAAATATTTCATCATATACTGATTATGACCTGTTTTTACATAAAAATACCGCCCCTCTGTTCACCGAGTATGATCTTGCTGTACTAACAGATCGTGTATGACGTCACAGACTTGTAGGACGCGCAGTTTAGAGAAACAGAGGAGTGGATCAATCTTTTTCATAATTTGTTAATTTTTACAAGAATGTTAAAACTTTTTAATTTTTTTTTTTATATAAGATGGTAATTAAAGTTAAAAAATTGTCAAAAAATTATACAAGAACTGATGCTTTACACGATTGCACTTATATAAATGGAGACTATGACGTAGTTAAACAGAGTCATGTGACCATGTGTCCTTCATCCCCTTAAAATCAACTTCAGGGCACTTGTATATACAATTAGAATGTATTTAACAAAACATTTTTTTAAATGACCAATGACAAGATAATTAAATTTACAAGTTGCATTTTTCGTGAAAAAGCAGCTGTCTATGATTTCAAAAAGGCTGGATTTTAATTATGATGGGGGATGGTTTGTATAAAGTGATGAAAAGTCGTACGTTTTGATGTTATTGATATTGGTAAATTTAAATTTAGTGATGAGATTTCAAATTTTCTAAAAGTTCCTTGGAGTTTAATTTCAAATATGCACACCTGATTTACACCAGTTCTGGAATATATTGGAGTACAGTACTCCTGAAGTGTCTCTTTCACTGCTGTTAATATATTAGTGAGGAGTAAAGAGGCTTGGTAGAACATTTACTGGACCCCGCTCACAGGTACTTGTGGACAGGACCCCCCCCCCCCCCCCCTCCAATATGCCCCACAGGTCAAAAAATATTTTTATGTATTTTTTTCATAAATTATTCTTCTAGTACACATTTACAATGTATTCCATAAGAAAAATCCAAAAAATAACGCAGAATTAACGTTTTATACCGCGGGTATGATTTTTTAGTAAAACGTTAATTCTGTGTTATTTTTTGGATTTTTCTTATGGAATACATTGTAAATGTGTACTAGAAGAATAATTTATGAAAAAAAAATACATAAAAATATTTTTTGACCTGTGGGGCATATTGGAAGGGGGGGGGGGGGTTCCTGTCCACAAGTACCTGTGACCCCGCTATGTACCTTTGTTTGTAAGGATTTTTATGTGGATTAGGAATCCAGTATAGGTAAATTCAAATTCATTTTTATTGTTGGGAATATTAAAAATATTTAAAGCTACCATGGCTCTGTTTTCTTGGTTGATGGTGGTTTTAAAGATAAGACTGCCAATATGAATGCACACACTACTTTATCAAATAGAAATACAAGTGCATTTATTAAGGATAGGGAATAAAAATCACGTGTTCCAGATATAACATTGTCCTTTTCTTATCATTTTATCATTCTGTATAATGCTGTCATTGTCTTCAAAAATGATTCTTCTTTTCATGGTGACAATATTTTGTGTGAATTTGGTTAACATGGATTTAACGGTAACGCCTCCAAGGTATATAACACTTGCGACACCTGCAACACCTACAACACCTGGATACTGCGTTTATCAAGACGAGATTTATCCACCAGGGACATTCTATCCGTCACATTGCGTCTATTGTATATGTTATCACGGCGGAATAACCACTTGTTATTATCCAGGCTGTCCTACTCGTCCGGGTCCCTTTTACTCTTGTTATTTGAAATCAGGGGACTGTTGCGATACATGCGAACTAAGTTAGTTGAAAAATGAATTATATTTTTTCAAAAACATAAAATTTTTAGATACGCCTTAATTAAGTAACAATTCATTTGTGAAAAATATTTATTGTAAAAACCTAAAAATAAGATCTATAATAGTAGACTTTTTATTATTTTTCTCTTTTAAGATTACTGTACAGCTCCGGACGGATCGGTTCTTTACCCTAGGCCTGGAGAGATGTACAACGTGGGCCAGAGCTTGCGCTGTTTCTGCCCTGGGCGGAAACCAAACGATACTGCCGTCTGTGAACCAGTTCCCACTACCCCAGTTCCCACTACCCCAGTTCCCCCTACCATAATTGTTCCAGAAATCGTGGGATAGTAGTACATATATAAGTACAGAGCATCATATTTATCGACCCTTTCCTGAACATTGTGAAATGTGCAACACGGAGAATTGCAAATGCGAACAAAAAAAAAAAAAAAAAAAAAAAAAAAAAAGATTGCTTAAGTTTTATTTATTAATATTTTTGCGTGCAGTTAAAATAATAAAAATAGGCATTCTTTTTTTTTAATTTTCGGTTTTAACAGCTTTTCATGTATATGCCCGGACCATATCGCATTTGCTTGTTCTTCTTATATTCTCTGTCTGGCTGTCTGGCACTTGATCTAGACTTGCATGTATAATGTGTGTTAATAGCGCCCTCTTTGTCCACCTCTCTTTATTAGCTGTGCTGTCAGAACAATGCAATATTTTATTATCAAACGTTTTGCCTATTTGTGTTTAAAAATTAGAAAATATGTACTAAAATTCTAAAATTTTCACCCTCTGCTGGATTAAACATCATATGCTCTCTTACTAATTTCTATACGTTATTGAATAATATTTCGGGAATGAACTTTGCTCTCCGGCGTCAAATCTTTCGAAAAGACAAACCCATAAAATTGTATTAAAAAATATTTAAAAGGACATTACGTTTCGCAGATTTTTTTTTTTTTTTTACCTTTTTCCCAATTCCCTGAGTGTACAATTAAATAGTTCTAATAAATAAAGTACCTTAATAATGCAACTTTTATTATGCCTAATAAATACCAATTTAATTCCAGATAAAGCTGTAAGTTTAGTAATTTTTCTCTGAAAATCACAAAGATATTCATCATTTGATTTCTATTCAAACTCCAGGGTAATGTATGTTGATTTTTTGCTTAAGAACTTCAAATGGTACTAGGATTAAAAATTCAGAAAATCTTGAAAAAAACTAGAGGTACTGTAATCACTGAGCTCACTAAATAATACCCCCTGCCTCCCATATGATTATAATGGCAAAGTCCATGTTTTGCTCTCGGAAACCCGAAATAAGTGTCAGATCAAAAAGTAAAATAGGAGGTGCACAATGGCATTATGTAATAAAGAATCTGTGAAAGGTTCATAAAATTTCATTCAGTGGTATAAGAGGAGTTGCGGATAAGAGATAGGTACCCCAAAGCGTAACAGACGGATGGACGGATGGACATCCCGATCACTATATACCCTCCCACTTTTCAAGCGGGGGGTATAATTATCAATTAGGTTAGGTTAGTTATCTGGTATGTTGTACTGCTGAGAATTATCTCTCCGACAGGATCCAGGTAGTAGTATTAAAGGGATACTTCTCTGGATTGGAAAGTGTTATTGCAGGTGTTCCTGAAGAGTCACTTTTAGGACCATTTCTCTTTTTAATTTATATAAATGATGCAACTGAAAACATACAAAATCATTAGAACTATTTGCGGATGACACATAATTGTTGATATAGACACAGTCAACCCAATGGAATCTCTTACTGCTGACTTGGAAAAAAAAATAATTAAGGCAATGGTCTCATCAATGATTAGCTGAATTAAAACCTAACAAAACTGAAAATTTATTTTATTAGAACCCTTATTAGAACAAAATATATCATTTGGGAATAGAAGGAATACTATTACCCAAAATCACAGTCGCTGCCACCTAGGGCTGATGGGGCTAGTATGACATTATAATATTACATGTATATTAATTACTATCATTAACACGATTGACGAGAAAGCTTATAATTGTTCAACATGAACATAATGCGCACATGCACTTGAAAAATTAGGGATACCGATTTGTTTGAGAATTAATCTCTCCCACCTAAGTCAATATACATGCATGTTCTCTCTCTCTTTCTCTCTCTCTCCGGATTCATTCTCTACAAATTAATGATTTATTTTACGTGCTGCTTATTCATTGCTCTTTTTTATTATTATTATTAGTACCTTGATCTGTGGAGAAAACGATTATAGGCATCCATGCCTGCTGTTCAGTCCAAATCATGTAGCAATGAATAAAATATTTTAAAAACAAACCTATCACAGTACAGAGTTTACTTGTATGAGCTCTACTTTTCGAGCACCTGTGCCTTTTCCGGAATTGACCCGCCAATATTCTAGTCTTTATAATGTATTGTTTGTGCATGGATACAATGTAAACAACCCGAGACATTGAACGCGTAGATATCGTGGCAAAGGTCCAAGATACAGAAAGGTAAGGCGCGATTACTTTTCTTTATTAACAAAAGAACTTCATAATCATTGGAAATCAAAGCATGCATTCTACTCAAGGGGGCGTGATTTCAATTAATAATGCCTACTATTAAATTTTATACAGAGCCCTTTGGTTTTTTTTTTTGACAATCGATATATTGAAAAGTTGATAAGTCTGTTTAAAGCAATTTTAAATTTACCTGTATACCTAACGTTATGTAGGAATATAACAAAGGGGGATTTACAGCGACATTGATATTAAATTAATAAGTTTAAACAAGATTAAATGTGTGTAAAGAATTTCTACATTAAAATACACATGTATATTTGATTTAAATAGGGAGAGCACTCAATATATGCAGCCTGAATTAAATGTTTAAATGCATACCAGGTAATTTCACACAGCGATTATTTTTTTCCCTTCCTCTCTTTTAGTATTTTTTTTTTTCAAGGGAAAAACTTTTTCACTTCATGAATTACAAAGATTATTAAACTTGGGAATTTACCTTGGTGTGTGTAACTTAAATATAGAAGTAACGCGAAACTAATAGAGGGGTCTAAATCGACTTAAAAAACAAATTTCCAGCTCATTTTTTTTTCACAAAAAGAAATGATTCAATAAAAATTAGATAAAATGAAAATTGAAAATAGGAAAATAGGCATTTCGCAGAGAGAGAGAGAGAGAGAGAGAGAGTCTTTTCTCCTGATCAATCCATTTTCCCCATATATTTATAGCTCTTCATTAGTTGTTTTTTTTTTTCCTTGTTTCGCTAAGATATAAATTATACTATGATAAAATAAAGCTGAAAAGTGGAGAGCGGGGTGGGTGTGCGGACCCCTGCCCCCTCTGGATCCGCCAACGGCGTGGGTGAGTGGTTCGGGATATACGGAGGCTCGGAAGATGACAATTTAGCGGAATATTAAGCTAGGCAGATAAGAACTTTTTTAATAACATTGTAGCAACATGTTTTTAAATCAACAGGTCGCGTGCAGTAATTCACAAAACAGATAGGATATGTTTTCAGTCCTTAACAAAACATCTTTGGCAGTACTCAATCAGTTAGCTGTCATTATATCTGATAATTATAATCTTCTGGTCTTGAAGTCCGACGCAAGGTTCACATATTAAATGACAGACATTGATCCTGGTGTCCTGGCATTCTGAAGCTTTTTATCTCAGATCATGCCTTAAATAAATAATTTAAATACCTATACATCAAACAATTTATTATCTACTGTATGTAAGGTAGACTCGGTGCATTTGTCGCCCAGATCCACATTTCTGGTATACTGACATGCAAGGACATTGCAGGAATTGAAATATGAAGGCAGATCTACCTTCTGTCTAAAAAAAATCTTTTAAGACAGTGGGGTGGGGGCATGGAGTGTGTCTCCATAGAATTAAGAAATTCGTGATAACACTTAAGCTTTCTGACTCATATTTATTACAAGTGCACCTGTATGCAACTGAGTTTTCTGTGGTCATTTAATGAAATTTTTTAACCCCCCCCCCCTCAACATCATTGGAAAACTTGAATTTGTCCCTGAAAGATCAAGAACTTTTCCAATGTAAATGTATCTTATATTAATTTATAAGAATAAGGTCACATGCACTTGCGATATTAAAAATGGATTCCTTTAAAAATTATGCAGAGAGAAATAGCGTACGTGTTTATGATGTAGATTCAATGTACAAGGGCGTACTATGTTTAATATTTTCAAATCTGTTTGCTACTTTTTTTTTTTACATATAGTCAGCTATACACTATTGGGATTCAACTTAGAAGTATACACTGTATACTCGTATATCTTGAATTACAAAATAGGATTTATTAAAAAAAAAATCATCAGATCTGTACATATGACCACTGTGTGACCTTTATAGTTTGTTGCTGTATGTTTGTGATAAATTTTGTTATCCTAGCATATGAATCAAATGTGTATATACGTATATAGTTCTTTCTGTTGCAAAACGCAGTCGCATGAATTTTAAATGTGTTTACAAAAGGGTTATTGTAGATGCACGTGTTCGTAAACGTTGCTGTAAATCTTAAAGCACGTCCTTTTATATTTGCAGTATGTTTTATGCCTTTGGACCGGGGCACAAAAATGTCATCCAGGTACAGATCTGCCCAGAAGGTCAAATCTCAAAGCCTCACTACTAAGACAGAATTCGACCTGCCAACAAAAAGTATATCAAACACAAATCAACAGAAGAGATTACGTCCCAAAACCGTTCCCACCAGACCGCAGAAAGAGAGTGTGAAACCGATTTCTCTGTCAGTGACGGCAAAAATTAAAAGCGGTAGCGCGGGACAAGGCTCTTCTGAAAAGAAGGACGATCGAAGCGAAAATGGTGCCACAAATCGTAAAAGTTTAAGCAATTCTTTAACGCAGAAAACAGTTAATGGCAGCAAGAACAGCGAAGGAGAGAAATCAGAGGCCGGTGTGAACACCGGAACGTTAAGTCAACCGGACCCCAATGTTGGCAGGACAAACGGCAAAGAAGACAAACCAGATACTGGTGTGAATATCAGAAGGTTAAGTCAACCGGAACCCAATGTTGGCAGGACAAACGACAAAGAAGACAAACCAAATACTGGTGTGAACACCGGAACGTTAAGTCAACCGGAATCAACTGTTAGCAGAAAAATCGACAAAGAAGACAAACAAACGGCTGGTGTGAACACTGGAACGTTAGTTCAACGTGAACCCAATGTTGGCAGGACAACCGGCAAAGAAGAGAAACCAAAGGCTAGTGTGAATACGGGAACGTTAAGTCAACCGGACCCCAATGTTGGCAGGACAAACGGCAAAGAAGACAAACCAAATACTGGTGTGAATATCAGAAGGTTAAGTCAACCGGAACCCAATGTTGGCAGGACAAACGACAAAGAAGAGAAAACAGAGGCTGGTGTGAATACCGGAACCTTCAGTCAACGTGAACCCAATGTTGACAGGACAAATGGCAGGGAAACAGAGCAATGTGTGAATACCGGAACGTTAAGTCAACCGGAACCAAATGTTGGCACCCGGAATTCCTTAAGTTCTCATGAGATCTCCGAGAATGATCCAATAAGAGAAACAGAAAACGGAAAAGACAATTACGTGGAACATGTCAACACAGAGTCTCTTGAAAATGGTTCATATTCCATCGGCCATACACTAGTCACAATTAACGAAAACGGAAATCAAAATGGTGAAGATATTTCAGAAGAACAACTCGATGCAAGCGTATTCGATGGGGTTGGTCGATTTTTCATGTGTTCTGTAGACTCTGACGTCACAACTCCGTGGATAGGTGGAATGGCGTACGTCGAAAGTGGTGATATCATTTGTTTAGATCTAAACAATGAGTGTATCAAACGATTCGACAAAAATTTCAAGATGGTGTCAAGCATTGAGGTCCCGTTTGACTGTTATGGAATGACTATTACATCACATGATGAGATTGCAGTCACGTGCCTTAATGAAATTCATTTTTACAACGTTGGAAAATTTGGAATGAATAGAACTGCAAAATATTTTACTGTGAATGGAATGGCACACGGCATTGCATCTGATCAAAGCTGGTTTGCCGTGACATGTGATATTTCAGAACCAGAAGATAGCACGATTCGAATTATCGATGAAAACGGAAGTGAACAATTCGTAATCTATCCACCTGTTGTGTCAGAACTTCCATTAAAACTCTCATCTTTCATTGAGCTTGACAAATCATTAGGTCGGGTTTTTATCTCAGAATCAGCACCGAGCAGGGTTGTCTGTGTTAACTTTCAAGGAGAGGCATTATGGGATACTTCCATTCCCGGAGGGTCACGTGGCATAGTCTCCATTGGCACCAATATCTTAGTGTGCGACCAGTTCAGTGAAAAAATTCGTTTACTGACAAAAGACGGCGCGTTGAAGGCACCAATGTTATCGTCTGAAGACGGACTCTGTAACCCTGACATCATCGCTCGCAGACCTGATTCTAATGAAGTCGTAGTATCCTATGGTGGATTTGGAACCATTGGATTGTTTTCCATACACTAACTTGTTTTGTTAAGGTTGATGGGGTTCGCATGCAAATGATTGGTAGATTTTAGATAGTTAGTGATTACAGAGTTATATTTATTTAAAATATGTATTTACGTAGGAAATTAGGTGTATTAGGGAAATGTTTCGAAATTGTTTTGTGGGAACGTGTAATGTAAGAACATCTTCTTTGTCCTTTGTTTTACAATGGATAAGATTGCATTTTAACTTGTAAGAGAAAATCGAACACACTCCGTGTGTTCCCGTTGTGAAGGACTGCTTTAACTCAAACAGAAAGATCATGTGTTTCGATTGGGGTAAAAAGGTGGGGGAGAATCCCGAGGTGTGCCGATACCTCTCCTCATTTAGTAGAATGCAATTAAACTGCATCTAGGAATATAAGGAAAATACTCCTTACTCATCAATTAACACGTTTTATTAATGATGCATTTCACATAATTACCAAAGATTGTTACTGTTGTGGATCATAAATGCAAGAAAAATCTTTATTAATGTACCATTACTAACCAATTGTGTTCAGTTCTCCAAGTACTGCAATAAAAATCCATGCCTTACAAAGTAATTTATCCGTTTTGGTTTCATGAATACAGTCATATGATATCGTTATGCAACCCTAGGCCCATATTATTCACAACAAAATAATATTCTAGCTGTCCTATAACTGCCATTACCATATACTCTCACCTAAAAACAATTTTCTAATTAAAAGATTGTTTTGGATTTAACGTTGCAGAATCATCTAGAGATCATAGTGTAAGGTATAGTTTTTACAATGCCTGTACTACAAGTGTACTGTCCCAGAAACTGTTTTTCATTCTTGATTCTGTAACCTCTCGGAAAAATTAATGTGAAATACATGTACTAGGATGTGATCATCAATTTCTCTCCATTACAGACGCAATGGTCAGGCAGGGAACATACAAACAGGTTAACATGGCAATTAAGCTCTGGGTTCATTCAAACTTTCTTTGCAGAATAATGATGAAAAACAAGCCATCTTTGGACTTTATTACTTTTAATACACGTTTTCTACACTAAACATACACAAAGTGAAAGTAGATGACAAACAAAGTGAAAGTAGATGACCAACAAAGTGAAAGTACATGACCATGTTAAGGTAGACAAGAAGGCATCATAAGTGTGACCAAAAGAGGAATTCATGTACAAAAGTATTACAATGCAATTTGTAAAAAAAAAAGTTATATAACATGTATTACAACATCATCTTTTACAATATGTTTAACCAGTAAGGAAATTGTAATTATGCAATATGCAAAGTCAAATGCTGACTTCGAAAAAAAATGTTACATTGATACCAGATTTCTAACGCTGTGTCACTGCAACAGCTGTAATAATATTTTATGAAATTTAGACATATTTTACTAAAACCCAAAACATGGAGTATATGATGAATGATGGACTCAAAGCATTAACATAATGAAAGCATATCTCAGTCCCTTTTATGATCACAATTACAAACAAACTTTACTGGGGGTTAGGTATTTCTCTACATAATCAAATATACATTCCTGAATTTTAAAAAAAAATATATATACCTTCGGAATAGTTCCATTTTAAAACAGAAGTATATACACAATATATAAGAATACCTACAGGATTATTGTATTTAACACAAAAGTATAATTACATTGAAAATTTTATCTACAACCTCATGTTTAAGAATTAATATTAAATCTCTTGTTTCTGATACATTTATATATATAATCAATCAGACTGCAATTTTTTATTCCAAAGCAATTACCTACATGTTGGCATGAAATAAACAGGCAGGTGTAAATAAATTCTAAATATTCCCATGACCAAATGACATGCAGCCCTTAAGAAATAAAATTCAATTGTCTGAAACTATCAACCTATATAAAAAATGACAATTAGTTGAATGCATTTGCCCTTTAAATTCATCATACAACGTCACTCTGTAAAAAGAGATTTGTTTAAATGAATGCATTCTACTGCCTTTAAATGGTTTTCTCTTATAGTTATTTTTAGATCAAGCAAGTTTTGCTGAAACTTAGGTTGTAATTTATAGCTTCATCGGTAACCTCCTTTACTGGTTCAGCCAAAGTTACGCGGCACTCAGGACCATTGAGCAGTGAGGGTTAAAAATCCCTCACTGCTCAATGGCCCTTAGTGCCGAGTATAGGTCCAGATTTGAAGCCCTTCACCGGTATATGGTGACGTCTCCTATGAGTGAAAAATTCTCGAATGGGACGTAAAACAACATACGAAATCATTCAATCAATTGACTGGTTCAGTTGGTTCCCCTGCCTCACTTTTGGTCTCGTATACATACTCCACCTGGTATTTGTTAAAGGTGAAGTAGGGCGTGGCATCCTTGGCGTCTTTGTTGTGGTACACTCCACCAGATTCTCGGTGCGTCCCATTAGCCAATCCTCACAGGCGGACTTCTGATCTTTCGTCAGGTTTCCCTGTAATTAAAATGTGTAAAATAAAGTTATCAAAATGTTTTGCATATCATGGCTATTACAAAATGATGTCAATTATCATTTGAGGTCAATTACATCTAAAATTTAATAAAAAAAAGATTACAGACAGAATGATGCCAGAGAAACTCTTATCAAAATAGCTCACCTAACCGTAAGGGGATAACAAATAATGCAGAATTTTAAAAATATTCATTACTTTTGTACACTTATCTCCTTTGCATTGGTGAGTGCTGTACGTTTGTATAAATAGTACTCGCTGTTGACGACATACACGATTTTGAAAGAGTTGACATTAAATTAACACTCAGTGTTGTCCAGTATGTCCCTATTATCCATGGATTGTTTAGAAGACCTGGAAATTTCCTCTGTTTCGGTATCTGAACGAGATTCTAATTCTTATGGTGAAGTCGCCATTGTCTCACATTCCTAAGACATGTAATGATATAACAATACAAGCAGTTAAATACATAATTCACATTTCTGCTTAGAGTAGTCTGTCAAGGTATGTTGCCTCTTTACCATTATTCATACGAGGGAAAGTCTCTTCTCTTACAATACATTTCCTAGATAGATTACACAAAAACAGGACCCCAACAAACATCCTTCGAAGAGCTGACAGTTTTGAAGTAATGACTTTTTCAATTTTAATTCGCTCTTCCCATCTTTCTTAATTTAATAAAAATCATGCGACATACATATGTACATGAATCTACAGAGTAACAAAACAGTATCTAGATAAAATGACTAGTCCCTCCTTCACAATTTTAATCCTGCCTACATCCCTTTGACCTTTGACCTTAAGTAAAGGTGATGTCACGCTTTTAATTCATCAACAACAACGTACCTGAATACAAATTTAAGTCCTCATAAACAACATACTAAGTTTGAATTAATTTCTAATCCTTGGTTCAAAAGTTATACTGTGTATTTTGCATTTACTATTTCAAAATCTCATTGTTAGGTGACCTTTTCAGTAGGACCTGGAGTTAAGACAAATTACCTGAGTAAAAAGAACTACCTGGGTGTGAATAAATTACTAGTACCTGGGTAAGAAGACAGGTTTGCGGTCATAAGTGTGTTTGCTATAACCGTGTTTTACTTTATCTGGGTAAGAAGACAGGTTTGCGGTTAAGATTTTCTTTCCGGTCTTCTAACACTGTGTCGTCCTTGGAGACGTACTTCTCTACATACTAAGACCAACGCTCCACTTCCAATGGATCATCAGACTGCTCGTGGTCATGATCAGTGTCCAGGAGTTCGAAGGTCAACTTACATTCTTTCTTGAACTGTTGAAAATATCAAATTTTACATTTTAATCAAATTGCTTATGGTTACAAAATAGCAGCTTGTTTACTAACTCTTCAAATGACACAAAAATATCACAGAATTCACGTTCTTAATGTTTCACAAGTCATTCTCTCCCATAGTTATCCATGATGAAACAAGTAAGAATCTCAGACAGACACCTAGTCAAACCTCATGTTCATCCAAGGTATTTGCAAAAATTCAAAACGAACATAGCTCAAATCGAACTGCAAACATACTCTTTCCCCAGGCAGTCGTAATTCTGCAGAATTTATATTCAAGGTAAAAAATTACACAGATTTCTTGGAATTCCATTGTACGTCTTAAATTCAATTTAAGTATGCAGTGACAAATTTCTGTGGTAAATCTTTGACCGTGTACGTAGCGTAAATTAAACGCAAGCGGAAAAACATATGCATATGTGTACAGTATTTAGAATGTTTTCCACCTCTTTTTTTTTTACTTACAATGAAAAGCAGACCCTGTTACCCCCCCCCCCCCTTTTCCTGTTAAATATGACCTTGAGTTGAGAAGACAAATTATCTGAGTAAAAAGAACAAAATGGGTGTTCAAATTACTGTATTTTGAAATACCTTTCCTTTGTAAATCCAAACTTGTAAGTTTATAAATCCAAACTTGTAATCGTATCAGTTTCATAGTCTACATATGTAAATAGGTAATTCCGACATCCTAGCATGTAGTTCCGAACATACAACTGTGTCGACTTTGAATTTATACTATGAATGTGTGTATTTTTGATGTTGTAAACTTTGTTTTCCGGAATTTATATTTCCGCGCTCTGAATAAAACACAAAGACAATTGATTGTCGAATTTTGATTATGAGAAACTATGGAGGGGCATCAGTGCCACATTTTTTCTCCCTTTTTTTATTGTAACTTCTTCTTTTTCTAACTGAAATAAATTATTTAGATTTTACTTTTTTTTTCATTCTAACTTCCAATTTTATATTAGTATTTTCATTTGAAGTTGTTATTTAACTTGAATTCTAACTTTTTGTTTATATTTCCAATTTTATTTTATCTTCTTAATTTTATTTTATTTGACGATGTGAGATGAATCATTATCCGCTTACTCACGGCTTGCGCGGATCAAGAGGGGCTTCGGCTTTTAATGTCTCAACCGAAAAATTATTCAATTGACTTTCAATGCCGAGGGAATAGTCATTACCAACACGTATGTTAAGCGTCTTACATTTTGCCAGCCGGCACTAGGAATTTAGGACAAGTGAACTCTTACCCTCCAATGGCCTACGAAGCTAGCGCCCAACCACTAGGCTACTGTGATCAGTGCCCCATTTTATTAAGAACCAATGTAACTGCAATGATATCATATTAAAAAAAAACAGCAACCACTCAGTAGATGAAGATCCGTATCAATGTTTATCGAGGGGGGGGGGGGGCTCCAAAAAAATTGACTATGAAAAAAAAAAATAAACTGCCCAAACCCCTCCTTCGTGGGAGGTGATGTTTAGGATATCTTTAACTTTT